TTCTTTTAGATTAATATATATTTTTTTTTAATATTATTATTATCTTAATAATTAATACAATAATTAGTATATTATTTTACATTATAAATAATATATATATATTATTGATTATTTTAACTTCTTTTTGTAGTTTTTAATATTAAACAACTATTTACATTAATCAATAAAATTGCATGCTAATAAATCTATTTCATTTATATTATATTTTAATTCTTAAAAATATCATTAAAATAATTGCAAATTATAATTGTTTCATTTTTTGTAATTATTTTGAAATTAAATTCTTAGAAATTACATGAATTCTTATCAGATTTCTCATTATAATCTTTATATTATATGTCGTTTTATTCCTCATACATTACTTGCAATTAAATGTACAAAATTTCCTTCTGAACTTTTTTTTTTCACATTAATATAAATAACATGCCTCTTTTTTTAACATTATTATTATAATAAAATTAGAATTTATTATATTTCAAGTAATGGAAATACATTTATTGATATTAAAGATTTTAAATATATATATTTTTTTTCAACATCTCTTTTGTGATTAGAGTATTTTTAAGGTTAATTAACATGAGTTATTATTATTTTAATATTATTACATTTTTCTTCTTTTTTATTGAGGATTTAAATAATAATTATTTTATAAAATATGTTTTTAGGGGATTTTCATCTTATATTTAGCTTGTTATTTAATTTATTAAAGATTAAAGAATGTAATATATCATTTTATTGTTTCAACATTATCAGCTGTCATTTTTTTTTATATATTTCTCTATTTTTCTTTATTATATATGCACAGAATATTTTGAAGTAAATATGTAATATGAAAATTTAAAAATAAAATTTTAAAAATAAAATTATTTTTCATTATATTATTTAAAAAATTAATGTTCTTTAAATTTTTCGTTTCCACTTTTACTATAAATATTGTATTGGAAAAATTCAATGATTTTTATTTTATATTTAGTTCTTGCTGTTTTATCTGATAATATTTTTAATTTATCAAGTAGGTACGTAACTTTTAACGTTACCATAAATTGAAAATATCACAATTAAAATATTTCATGACAATTATTTTTTTTAATTGATGATATTTTTCTTTCTTAATTTATAATTTATTAACTATTTTAAAATTTGTTGATTTAAAAAAAATTACATGCATTATTTTTAAGAGAAAAATATTTTAGAATTATATATTATATTCTAATAAATATTAATGACCATTATTATTATATATTATTATAAAGTGCTTACTATTTGAAAATTTAAATTTAAAAATATAAAGCCCAAAAATATATAATATACTGTTATAATTACTTAAAATAATATAAGAAAATATATTGACATAGTTATTATTAAAGTACGAACCATTTTTCCGATTTATAAAATTCCAGAATAATATACCAAAATAATAAAAATAAAAATGTTTAGTTATTCAGTAGTGATTGTTTATATTTTTTTTTTTTTAATTTTAATATTCCAATATTTTTGTAACAAAAGGTAATATGTACTTTAGAAAATTTGCAATTTTTATTTTTTTAAATTTATATTTACATATAAAAAATAATTATCATAAATTTAATTTAATTTTTTTATTTAATGTAACTTCTGTAGTTTTGAGATTAGCAATAAAAATTTAAATATTGTATCAAATTTGATAGGTGCAAGAGTATTAACAGAACAACAACTAAGTCCAATAATTAGATCAATAAGAACAAGTAGTGATATTCCTGATAAACTTGTTCAATTACCTGAATTACGTCAAGAAGCTCTATATGATAAGTTGGGAAAATTATCAAGTAATTTCACAGGAGATAATACTGTAGAATATACTACTTGTATGAGTAACAAAAATATGGATATTGTGAGATCATTAAATACTCATCTAGAGCATAATAGTAAAGCTTATTTATATAATATTTTTTCTTTAGGGAGTAAATTAGAAAAAGAATTTCATCTGTATTCCCACGATTATTATATAAGTGAGGTAATGTTAAATGGTAGAATTTTTAATACTGAACCATATACTATATCTGAATTATCATCCACGTTTACTCCATTCTCTTCAACTACTTCATCATCCACATCTTCATCATCAATCACACCTGCGACATCAACAGTTTCTTCGTTAGTAAATAATAATTTATCAGAAATAGTAACAAACTTTTCTTCTATATCTACAAGTCTATTTAAGAACTTAACTACATTAACACCTTCAATTGAAACTGAAACTATAATTACATCTGAGAATAATTCATCTTTATTAATGCCTGTAGAACATAGTAATTTAAATAAAGAATGTTTTTGGTTTTTCTGTGATCCAAAAAATTTTATTGCTTTATATATTCCTCTTGTTGTTGTTGGAAGGTTATTGTTTTTTATATACCTTTACAAAGTAATATAAAATTAACAATGAAAAATATTTATACATATTTTATTTTTAATAATTACTTCTTAAAATTGCCATTGTATACATATAAAAAAGATTTACTTCTAATTTCTAATTTCTTCAGCAGAATACTCATACCAGACCAGTTTCAGGAAAAAGTAATCCAAAAAAAGATATAGGAAAAAGGAGAACGCATAAAATAGACAATGGTTATAATATTCATAAGCACTCAGAATTTCCTTTTATGCACCCATTTTGAGGAAAAGAAACAATAATATGAAATCAAAGATAATATAAATTCTTACGAAGGTATATATATAATATAGAATGGTTGTATAATAAATGGATATAATTAAAGTATTTTATTTCAAAAAAGTTTAAATTTTTTCTTAGTATGTTTTTACATTTATTGTTCATTAAATTACATAATCTTATTTATCGCATTTTATTTTGATTCTTTTATATATATATATTTATATTTATAATAAATTACTATTAAATGAAAGAGTACATTTCAATATACTTAATTTTAATTTTTTCCATTTTAAAGAAAATAATTATAAAAATGAAGTATATAGTTCTTTTTTATTACAAAAAATGTATTTCGTTTATTTTCTACTTAAATATATTCTTTGCTATGAATTATATTTATGTTTTATGTAATATTTTTAATTGAACTGTTAATTTAGTAATAAACATCTGAAAAAAGATATTAAAATTATTAATTTTTTTTCATTAGAACATGCACATATTTTTTCCATAGAATTAAATTTAACCATAAAAAGTTTTATAAATTTTCCTTTATTTTATTTTTAATAGTACTTTATTGGTATTTGAAGGAAAAAGTTGTGGTAATGCAAACATTTGCTTTTCTTATTATTTTTAATATATTTATTTTATCAAAATTTTCACATAAATATTATTTAATTATAAAAATTATAGAATAACACAAGTTAGATATTTTTATAAATAACTCCTTCCTTTATTAACATTTTATGTTAATTAACAGATACTATAATTAATATAATATTATACAATTATATATTTTATATATTAAATATATCATCCTTTTTCTTATAATTGTAGTAAAAAAAAGACATTATTAATCTTTTAAAAATCATAATTAACAACTTATACGGGAAATAACAAGTTATCCATGTATATTTTCTGGTTAAAAAAAAATTAAAAATTCATTACTTTTTTTATTTAATTCTGTAAATTATTTTTTTTGTTGAGTATCTTTTTATAATATTTTATTAATTATTCTTCAGATGATAATTTGATGCAAAGATTAGTTTGGGTAACTAAATAGGTCATCTGTGTAGAATTTAATTTTTATTAATCTAATTAATTTTGGGTCAACTGGATATAAAATTTGATGTTTAAAACTAGTATAGAAAAAATTTTGATATTATTAGAATTTAACTATACGCTTTTAAAATCTTGTTAATATCTTTAATTTAAATTTGCTAGTTCATTTTAAAAATTTATTTTATGCATAACAAGTAGTTTTAATGAGTATTTAAATTTTTGAAAAAAATGAGAACTTTTTCTTAAGTAAATATGTGTCTCTAAAATGATAGGCATTCAACTGTGTTAACTACTTCTATAAATTTTAATTAATTCAGGTATTAATTAAATTTTGCAATAGTTAAAATTAGAAGATACTAATCTACATGTTTTTTAATACTTTTTGTGTTCAATAATTGGTTAATAAAAGGCTTTATTAGCCTTTTAGGAAAATAAAAGGACTAGTTATATGAAGAATTGTTTTATTAACTGGGTGTTCGGAGACATTGCTAGAGTACTAAACAAACCAATTAATAAAGAGCATGTAGAGATGACTCTACGATTTTCTTATACTTATGTATATTCATATATGCTTTGAACGAATGATCTTTAATCATAAACTACTTCGTTCAGCATTCTTTTGCTTCAATAAGTATTTATTTACTTTAATAAATAAATCCTTATTTTATTAAAAATTTAAACACTTATTTAACATTAACTATTAATTGATTATAATTATTAGTTTATTTATTACGAGTTATACTCAGCAATCATTTTATATTGCTATCGAATTAACAAAACACAAATACTTATTAAAAATGCAAATAAATTATATGCATATTAATTACATGAAAATTTTATCTTCATATGTATAAAATTTTCTTTCTCACAAATTCAAAATATGAATATTATGCAAATTAAACACTTTACAAAAATATCATTATCTTCTTAAAAAAAAATCTCTCTCTCTGATTTTTTTCTCTTCTCTTCCAAAAAAAAATAAATTTAAATCTTTTTTTTTTATTTATTTTTTTTTATCTTTATCTTTTTCGAAAGAAACATTTCTCAAAAAAAAAATCCAATAAATTTTTTTTTTTTNTTTCTTCTTGTAATTTAAAATGCATAAAATATATTATTATTTTTTTTTTTTGAAAATTATTTAATTTGTCGAAAGATAAAAGAAAAAGTTACTGACTAAATATTTTCTTTGTAATAGATTTTTCATTGAACTTTTATGAAAAAATTTTCTACGAAGATAATAAATTTTTAGGATTTGTTATATTTATATGATTTAATTTGCTTTCTATTAATTGTTTATAATTATTAATTTGAGAGTAATGAATTTGCACTGTTAAATATTACTTATAACATTATATGTAAAATATATGTTATTAAAATCACTAATTAATGAAGATTTAAATCTTTGATTAAGATACGGGATTTTTATAAAAATAAATAAATGCCTCTTAAAAACAATAATCGCTCATAATGTAGATTATATATAAAAACTTTTAATGGTTTTTATAATTAAAACTATATTTAATTTCATTAAATTAGTAAAAGTAACTTTACGAAACTTCGCGTGCTCATTATTAATATGTTTCTTAAATATTCTAAGAAAGTCATTGAATAAACAATTAACCATTTAATAATATAAAAACACAACAAAATTTCATTGAATTTTCTGAAAATTTATTTTAACTCTTCATTCAATATATATTTATTATATTAATATTTCTTTCAGATTTTCTCATATTTCTTCTTTTTATATACATTACTTTTTCCTTAAAATTTTATCAAATTATATGAATTAATTTTATTCTAATTTTTTTTTTTTTTTTTTTTTTTATATATTATTGGTTAATATATGGATTTATTAACCTTTTTGGAAAATAAAAGGAATAGTTAAATGAAGAATACGAAGTTGATCATGCACACACAAAAAAAAAAAAAAAATGATCAATTTTTTTTGTGTGTACTTTTTTTTTTAAATAAAAAATCCAAAGACGGTCAGGAAAAAAAAAAGATAAAAAAAAAAATCAATTGGAAAAAGATTCGTTACCAATAAATAAAAAAAAAAAAAAAAAAAAAAAAAAAAAATTTTTTTTTTTNTAATTTTTTTTTTTTTTTTTTTTTTTATATATTATTGGTTAATAAAAGGCTTTATTAACCTTTTCGGAAAATAAAAGGATAGTTAAATGAAGAATACGAAGTTGATCATGCACACACAAAAAAAAAAAAAAAATGATCAATTTTTTTTGTGTGTACTTTTTTCTTTAAATAAAAAATCCAAAGACCGTCAGGAAAAAAAAAAGATAAAAAAAAAAATCAATTGGAAAAAGATTCGTTACCAATAAATAAAAAAAAAAAAAAAAAAAAAAAAAGAATTTTTTTTTTTGGGAATGAAATATGATTTTGATGTATTTTGTAAAAGAAAAATTTATACATATAACAAAGAAATTTTCATGTAATTAATATTTATATAATTTTTTGTATTGTCAATAATTGTTTATGTTTGTTAATTCAACGGCAATATATATTAATTGCTGGATGCAACTCATAACAAGGAAACAAATAATTTACATTTAATTAATAATCAATGTTCAATAGGGATTTAAATTTTTAATAAAAATCTTTATTTTTATTAAAGTAAATAAATGCCTATTGAAATTAAAGAATGCCGAATGAAGTAGATTACATAATTAAGGATCGCTCGTTCAAACCATTTAAAAATATATATATAAATACATCAAAACGGTAGAGGCAACTCTACATACTCTTTATTAATTTGTTTGTTCAGTACTCTAGCAAAGTCTTCAAACACCCAATTAATAAAACAATGATAAAACATATATAGTATATAAGGTGCTTAAAGGATAATGATCAAATAATATTTTAGAATAATTATAATCGTACATACCTAGTTAATAAAAAGCATTATTAACCTTTTTGAGAAAAAAAAAATTAATAGCTGCATTAAAAATATACAGTTATCCATGCAAGCACTAGACATATAAAAAAAAAAAGATTTTGTTAATGTTTTTATTTTTTTTTTTATGTTGAAAATATAAAAAAATATATATTATTAGTTTTTTTTTCTGGATTTGACAATATTGAGAAATTGGTGAAAACATCTAGTATAGTAAATCTTATTTGATAATTTTTAAACGAAATCTTATACTATCAGTGTTTAATTTTTCTAGTTTATAATAATTATATAATTTTAAATTTGTTATTTTATAATCTCTTATTTTTGTTAATTTAATAACAATTGTTTAGGATTACTGAATATTATTATTCATAACATTATAATTAAAATATATCTAATTAAAAAATGATAACTAAGAAAGATTTAAATTTTTAATAAAAACATAGTATCTTTATTAAAGTAAATAAATTCCTCTTAAAAACAATAAATTATCAATAATGTAGATTTCATAAGTATAATTTACTTGTTTATAGTTTTAAAATTATATTTAAATTAATTAAACTAGTATAAGCAATTTTATATGCTCTATATTAATAAATTTGTAAAGTGCTCCAGCAAAACCGTTATATGGTGAATTAATATATCAATATTTTAATATAGATATATTTATTTTAATATTGTTGATATTTAAGAAGAGAAAACAATTTTAATTTTATTTTAATATAATAAAAAATATGTATATAAATTACATTTAAATTATAAAAAAATTAAAATTAATGTTGACTCAAATATATAAATTTTTATAATAATCACCATTAATACGATGGTAATCTAATTACTGAATTTTTATATTTTTTTATGTTAGGTTTTCGAAATTTTATTCAAATAGATATCATGAATTATAATTAGCATCATAAGTTGTTTATAAAAAATTTAATAATGTATATAAATTTATATAAATCTAATAACATAATATTTCTTCATAATTTGTATAAAATACCATTTGCTCCACAATAATATTAAGCATGTATTCGCTTTTTTTTCTATTATTTTACATATATATATTAATGAAGATTGTACAAAATATATATTAATTATATCCTATTAAAATATTCATGTTAATATAGTTTTATAATATAATCTTATAAAAATATATTACAAAAAAATTCTTTTAGATTAATATATATTTTTTTTTAATATTATAATTATCTTAATAATTAATACAATAATTAGTATATTATTTTACATTATAAATAATATATATATATTATTGATTATTTTAACTTCTTTTTGTAGTTTTTAATATTAAACAACTATTTACATCAATTAATAAAATTGCATGCTAATAAATCTATTTCATTTATATTACATTTTAATTATTAAAAATATCATTAAAATTATTGTTATATTATTGCTTAAGTAGTATTACCATTAATATGGTTATCATTTATTTTTACATTAAATATAATTGCAAATTATAATTGTTTCATCTTTTGTAATTATTTAAAATTAAATTTTAGAAATTACATAAATTTTTATCTGTTTTCTCATTATAATCTTTATATTATATGTCGTTTTATTCCTCATACATTACTTGCAATTAAATGTACAAAATTTCCTTCTGAACTTTTTTTTTTTCACATTAATATAAATAACATGCCTCTTTTTTTTAACATTATTATTATAATAAAATTAGAATTTATTATATTTCAAGTAATGGAAATACATTTATTGATATTAAAGATTTTAAATATATATATTTTTTTTCAACATCTCTTTTGTGATTAGAGTATTTTTAAGGTTAATTAACATGAGTTATTATTATTTTAATATTATTACATTTTTCTTCTTTTTTATTGAGGATTTAAATAATAATTATTTTATAAAATATGTTTTTAGGGGATTTTCATCTTATATTTAGCTTGTTATTTAATTTATTAAAGATTAAAGAATGTAATATATCATTTTATTGTTTCAACATTATCAGCTGTCATTTTTTTATATATATTTCTCTTTTTTTCTTTATTATATAAGCACAGAATATTTTGAAGAAAATATATAATATGAATATTTTAAAATAAAATTTTCAAAAAAAAATTATTTTTCATTATATTATTTAAGAAATTAAAGTTCTTTAAATTTTTCATTTCCACTTTTACTATAAATATTGTATTGAAAAAATTCAATGATTTTTATTTCATATTTAGTTCTTGCTGTTTTATCTGATAATATTTTTAATTTATCAAGTAGGTACGTAACTTTTATCGTTACCATAAATTGAAAATAGTACAATTAAAATATTTCATGACAATTATTTTTTTTAATTGGTGATATTTTTCTTTCTTAATTTATAATTTATTAACTATTTTACATTTTGTTGATTTAAAAAAAATTACATGCATTATTTTTAAGAGAAAATTATTTTAGAATTATATATTATATTCTAATAAATATTAATGACCATTATTATTATTATAAATTATTATAAAATGTTTTATATTTGAAAATTTGAATTTAAAAATATTAAGCCAGAAAATATATAATATATTGTTATAATTACTTAAAATAATATAAAGAAAATATATTGACATAATTATTATTAAATCACAAACCATTTTTCCCATTTATAAAATTCCAGAATAATATACCAAAATAATAAAAATAAAAATGTTTAGTTATTCAGTAGTGATTGTTTATATTTTTTTTTTTTTAATTTTAATATTCCAATATTTTTGTAACAAAAGGTAATAATTACTTTAGAAGATTTGCAAATTTTTATTTTTTTAAATTTATATTTTCATATAAAAAATAATTATCATAAATTTAATTTAATTTTTTTATTTAATATAACTTCTGTAGTTTTGAGATTAGCAATAAAAATTTAAATATTGTATCAAATTTGATAGGTGCAAGAGTATTAACAGAACAACAACTAAGTCCAATAATTAGAACAGTAAGATCAAGTAGTGATATTGAATGTGAACTTGTTGAATTACATGAATTTATTCATAAAGTTCTCTTTGATAAGTCGGGAAAATTATCAAGTAATTTCACAGGAGATAATACTGTAGAATATACTAATTGGATTAGTAACAAAAATATGGATATTGTGAGAGCATTAAATACTCATCCAGAACCTAATAATAAATATTTTTTAAATAATTTTGTTTATCTATGGAGTAAATTGGCAGAAGAATTTGATGTGTATTCCTATGTTAATTGGGTTTATCAGGTAATGTTAAATGGTAGAATTTTTAATAATAAACCACGTACTATACCTTTGTTATCATCCACATCCCCCTCATCAATCACACCTGCGACATCAGCAGTTTCTTCGTTAGTAAATAATACTTTATCTGAAATAATAACAAACGCTTCTTCTATATCTACAAGTCAATTAAAGAACTTAACTACATTAACACCTTCAATTGAAACTGAGACTATAATTACATCTGAGAATAATTCATCTTTATTAATGCCTGTAGAACATAGTAATTTACATAAAGCATTTTGTTGGTTTTTCTATGATCCAAAAAATTTTATTGCTTTATATATTCCACTTGTTGTTGTTGGAAGGCTATTGTTTTTTATATACCTTTACAAAGTAATATAAAATTCACAATAAAAAATATTTATATATTTTATTTTTAATAATTACTTCTTAAAATTGCCATTATATGCATATAAAAAAGATTTACTTCTAATTTCTAATTTCATCAGCAGAATACTCATACCAGATCAGTGTTAGGAAAAGGTAATCCAAAAAAAAAAAAAGGAAAAAGGAGAATGCATAAAATGGACAATGGTTATAATATTCATGAGCACTCAGAATTTCCTCCTATATACCCAGTTTGATGAAATGAAACAATAAAATGAAGTCAAAGATAATATAAATTCTTACGCAGGTATATATATAATATAGAATGGTTGTATAATAAATAGATATAATTAAAGGATTTTATTTTAAAAAAGTTTAAATTTTTTCTTTGTATGTTCTGACATTTATTGTTCATTATAGTACATAATCTTATTTATCACATTTTCTTTTGATTCATTTTTATATATATATTTATATTTATATTAATAATACATTACTATTAAATGAAACAGTACATTTCAAGATACTTAATTTTAATTTTTTCCATATTAAAGAAAATAATTATAAAAATGAAGTATATAGTTCTTTTTTATTACAAAAAATGTATTCCGTTTATTTTCTACGTAAGTATATGCTTTGATATTAATTATATTTACGTTTTATGTATTATTTTTAATTGAACTGTTATTTTAGTAATAAACATCTGAAAAAAAATATGCAATTTATTAATTTTTTTTCATTAGAACATGCACATATTTTTTCCATAGAATTAAATTTAACCATAAAAAGTTTTTATAAATTTTCCTTTATTTTATTTTTAATAGTATTTTATTGGTATTTGAAGGAAAAAGTTGTGGCAATGCAAACATTTTTTTTTCTTATTATTTTTAATATATTTATTTTATCAAAATTTTCACATAAATATTATTTAATTATAAAAATTATAGAATAACATAAGTTAGATATTTTCATAAATAACTCCTTCCTTTATTAACATTTTATGTTAATTAAAAGAAACTATAATTAATATAATATTATACAATTATATATTTTATGTATTAAATATATCATCCTTTTTCTTATAATTGTAGTAAATAAAAGACATTTTTAATCTTTTAAAAATCATAATTAACAACTTATACGTAAAATAACAAGTTATCCATATATATTTTCTAGTTAAAAAAAAATTAAAAATTCATTATTTTTTTTTTAATTCTGTAAATTATTTTTTTTGTTGAGTATTTTTTTATAATATTATATTACTTATTTTTCAGATGATAATTTGATGTAAAGATTAGTTCGGGTAACTAAATAAGTTATCTGTTTAGAATTTAATTTTTATTAATTTAATTAATTTTGGGTCAATTAGATATAAAATTTGATGTTTAAAACAAGTATAGAAAAAATTTTGATATTATTAGTATTTAACTATACGCTTTTGAAATCTTGTTAATATCTTTAATTTAAATTTGCTAGTTCATTTTAAAAATTTATTTTATGCATAAGAAGTAGTTTTAATGAGTATTTAATTTTTGAAAAAAATGAGAACTTTTTCTTAAGTAAATATGTGTCTCTAAAATGATAGGAACTCAATTGTGTGAACTACTTCTATAAAATTTAATTAATTGAGGAATTAATTAAATTTTGCAATAGTTAAAATTAGAAGATACTAATCTACATGTTTTTTATTAATTTTTATGTTCAATACTTGGTTAATAAAAGGCTTTGTTAACCTTTTTGTAAAATAAAAGGACTAGTTATATGAAGAATACTTAGTTGCTCATGCACTGGTTAATAAAAGGCTTCATTAACCTTTTTGGAAAATAATAGGACTAGTTAAATGATGTATACGAAGTTGATCATGCATACACACACACAAAAAAAAATTGATGATTTTTTTTTTGTTTGTACTTTTTAAAAAAAAAGTACAAAGACTGTCAGGAAAAAAAAATTTGATAAAGAAGAAATGTAAAAATAGTCAGAAAAAAAATTGATTAAAAAATCAATTTTTTTAAAATATTTGTTACTAATAAATAAATAAAAAAATAAAAAAATAAAAAAAAAAAGAATTTTTTTTTTTTAGAGATAGGAAAGGAAATATTTTTATGATAAATTTTGTAAGAAGAAAATTTTATACATATTATAATAAAATTTTCATGTAATTAATATTTATATAATTTATTTGTTTTTGTCAATAATTATTTATGTTTTGTTAATTAAACGGCAATATATATTAATTGCTGAACCTAATTCATAACAAATAAACTAGTAAATATAATTAATTAATAATTAATGTTAAAAAAGTATTTAAATTTTTAATAAAAATAAGGATTTTTATTAAAGTAAATAAATGCCTATTGAAATAAAAGAATGCTGAACGAAGTAGAGCACATAGTTAAGAGTTACTCGTTAAAGCATATAAAAATATATATAAATATACAAAAATCGTAGAGGCACTTCTGCATGCTCTTTATTAATTGGTTTGTTCAGTACTATAGTAAAGTCCCCGAACACCCAGTTAATGTAACACTTACCTACAGCTTATAATCACTACTTTTAACCTTTCATTTTTAATTTTAGATATCTCACGAGATAAAGACAATTAAGGTTTACATTGATTATTATCATTATAATGTTTCAATCGATTTTTTTCAAAATATAACTTTTATGAAATAATATTACCAACATTAATATATTTAGTTGCTATTAGTGGTTTTTTTTTTTTTAATCATTTAAATATTCATGCGCTTGTTTCCATTTGTTGTTTAATAAATTGTTCTTATTTCTAAAGTATTTTTAGGTAATAACTTTTAAAAATCAAGACATATACAGTTCATCCAAAATATAATATGATATTTATCCTAAAGCTTCGTAAGATGTATTATTATATATCAATATGTCATTTTTCATTATTTCTTCAATATATATATCTTTTTCCTTCTATATGGTCTTAAATAAGTAATCGAGGCTTTAATAAGAGTTTTAATTATAACATTTCCTTGAGGATAATAAGAAATTGTGTAATATAATTTTATTTGTAATTCTTATGTGACATATTTTTGAAATTCTTGATTCATATAAATAGAACAATCATCAGTAAAAATACTTCTAGGACATCCAAATGTAGGAAACCAAGTATTTCTCATCATAGAAATTTCATCAATGGAAGTAGGTGTCATTTTAATGGCACTAGTAATATAAACCGTTAATAATAATCCATAGCCATTTAAATATATTATTCTTTTCTTATGTCTTAGGTCTAATAATATCTAACGATATGATGCCAAATAAATTAGGTTTTGATAATGTTTGATTAATATTAGTCTTAAACTTTCTAATACTGATTTCGTAACCAACTAATCAGTTTAAAACTTATTTCTTAAGATTTAAAATAATACTAGACCAGCAAATGTACTTTGCATTTTCTTTAAAGTTTTATTGACTCTGGGATATCTGACAAACTTATTATTATGGAATTAGTGCATTAAATGAACCACATATCTTTCTGATATATGTAACAACCCTCTTTTATAGTGAATAGGAAAACCATTTCTCCATGCTACATATGTTGGAATATTATTCTTTTCTTCTTGAAACACATCAGCTATTTCTTAACAAGTGGAATAAATCAAAAGTTTTATAATTTTTCGGCGGTTTATTATAAAAAAAAGTCATATAAATAAGAGGAAAGTATCATTATTTATTAATCTAATTATTCAATCACCTAGGCTGTTTTCAATCTCTTAAACCTGATCAAATTCCATATTAAATTCTGATAACCTTAATTTCTATCTATATAATTTTTCATTGTTAGTAGAATATATTCCAACTATATTCCTACAATAAATCTCGATCATTGCTTTAGATATTTTAATATAATAACCAAATGGTTCACAAGCTATTACCATTGAATGAAATTCTTGTTTTATTGTACTCTATTTCCACTGAACGTCATCCATCTTTTATGATGTATGATGAAAATATTTAGTTTGAACAGAATCATTAATCTAAGCTAATACAGATCCTATAACATAATCAGATGAGTCAGTATAAAATGATATATGGTTTTCTATGCTGAGAAAATGGCAAATAAGTTATTTTACTTACTTTTTCTTTTATTTATTCAAAAATACCGAGAACGTTCTTTATTCCAGATGAACTTTTACCTTTTAGTTCATAATCAAACTAGCTTAAATACATATGAGGAAAAATTCTTAAGATAGTTCTATAATAATTAGAAGCTCCTACAAATTTTCTCAACTGCTTCTTGGATCCAGATCTTTTTGCTCCAATTATTGTTCTTATCTTATCTAATGAAGGTCTAAGTCCTTTGTCATCGATAATGTATTCTAAGTAAGCTATAGATGTTTTAAAGAATTCACATTTGTCTACATTTATTCCTAAACTATTATCAGTGAGTAATCTATATACTTTTCCTAATCCATTAAAATATTTATAAATTTTGTTTAAATGATGATGTTATCAATGTTCACAATCACACAGTTTTCTTTAATTAAGTCAATAAAGATATTTTCCATAATTCTTTGGATATGTGTAAGACAATTTTTCCAAAAAAATAGAAATATGTCAAATACAAATGTTCCACGCTTTGGTATCATAAATTTAGTGTATTTTTTACTATTTTCATCTAGTGGTATGTTCTAAAATCCATTTTTAAGATCCACTTTTGAAAACCTTTTAGTATCACAAAATGTTTGGTATATATGTTTTATATGAGATATAGTATATAAATCTTCCAATATATATTTATCCAAATACCTATAATTTATAGTATTTCCCCTTCTGCATTATTTTTTGCTAACCAATATCATAGGTGTAATTTATCTTGCACTACCAACTCTACTTATAATATCTATTTCTATCATTAAGTCAATTTTTTAATGAACTTCAATATTTCCTTACTCAAAGGTCTGAAATAATATCCCTGGTCTATAAATAATATTGCTGACCTATTTTTAATAACATTTTAATAAATAAAATCTGTAAAAACCTTTTTATTTTTGTGTGCTAAAATGGGAGGAAATGTGCACATGTAAATAAGTGAACTAAAAAACAAATATTTGCATTAAAAATAATTACATTAAAAAAAAAAAATACTCACTTTAAAGGTTAATGCACTAAAAAAAAAAAAAATATAGATATATTTTATTATATTTTTTTTTGTGTTTACTAGCAGTTATATATAAAAAATGATGTGTTTTTCTTTGTATGTAACGCTAAATTATAAGAAAATTAT